TTTGACATATCTGTCTTTGTTTGCAAAAGGAATTTTGTATTTTTGTACCGTTTTCAACAGCTGCCGATATGACTGACGCGGGAGATACCTAAATTGTTTTTGATCTGCCCGTATGGCTTCAATAAGCTCGGGTTTTGTATGAGATCTACGGGTTTTGGTTGTTTTTGGTGCCGGTAATGGGATGTTATACCGCTTAACAAAATCTTCTAAAAACGCCTTCTTAAATCGATTAAAGGTCGTTAGTAGAGGTCGGTGTTGTGGGTTGCTCATGTCTCTATTTATAATTAGGTTTTGAAATTTTTTATCATTTTTTCTAACGACTTGACTTGACATGTTTTTTATATATTCTTATTTTTATATATAGGCCATTTATTTAAGGCGGTTGTAAACATAGCGTGTTTTGCTTTGAACAGAGCCACGCTTTAAGTAGAGGTCACGAGTTCAGGTCTGGCAAGTCTCGACTTGTAGCAAGGGGAAGTCCCTTTTTTGTTTGTGAGTGATTACTGGTGCGATCGCTGCTGGTCACGAGTTGTTTACACAAAAAGTGCGCCAGGGTCAAAAGTTCAAGGTCAGTGAAGTGGAAATCCCCGGCGCGTGTGGGTGAAACGGGGTTAGCGTCGAGTCACAAGTTGTTTACAGGAAAAGTGCGCCAGGGTCAAAAGTTCAAGGTCAGTGAAGTGGAAATCCCCGGCGCGTGTGGGTGAAAGGGGGTGAAAGAGGATGTGCTCCAGAACTCTCCTATCCCTACTACTCTTGTCACTAACTACCATCGGTAACGTGTTGTTTGTTCCGGGGGTTCGAGCGGCCGACCCACGAACAACAAATCGAGTTGTTCGTGAACATTNGTGAATGCGTTTTAAACGTCGGCTTTATTTGCGACTGCATCATTGTCGCTCGGAAAGGGGAATACGCCAAATTCAGTTTTTTCAGGTTTTTCCAATCTAAACTGAACTTTGATATTTGTTTGCAATTTGTACGAACCAATTTCTTTTAGTTCTTCCAAAGCTCTTTTCTCGATGACAGTTTTGTAAAAATCAAAAAAGTGCACGAGGTCATATTCAAAGAAACGGGTATCAATTCCCAATTGCGAAAATTACCCTGAAAGCGCCTGACGTTTCTAATGTCGACTTCTGCAATTTCCTCGGGCTGAGTGTAAGCTTTAATCGCTTCAATAAAGTCCTGTTTGACATATCTGTCTTTTTTTGCAAAAGGAATATTATATTTTTGTACCGTTTTCAACAGCTGCGGATATGACTGACGCGGGAGGTACCTAAATTGTTTTTGATCTGCCCGTATAGCTTCAATGAGCTCGGGTTTAGTGTGAGATTTACGGGTTTTGGTCGTTTTTGGTGCCGGTAATGGAATATTATACCGCTTGTCAAAATCTTCTAAAAATGCCTTCTTAAATCGATTAAAGGTCGTTAGTAGAGGTCGGTGTTGTGGGTTGCTCATGTCTCTATTTATAATTAGGTTTTGAAAATTTTTATCATTTTTTCTAACGACTTGACTTGACATTTTTTTTTGTATATTGTTATTTTTATATAGAGGCCATTTATTTAAGGCGATTGTAAACATACAGTAGCGTGTTTTGCTTTGAACAGAGCCACGCTTTAAGTAGAGGTCACGAGTTCAGGTCGACGGGAAATCCCTTTTTTGTTTGTGAGTGATTGCTGGTGCGATCGGCGCTAGTCACGAGTTGTTTACACGAAAGTGCGCCAGGGTCAAAAGTTCAAGGTCAGTAAAGTGGGAATCCCCGGCGCGAGTGGTGGGTGAAAGAGGAGGAGGTCCAGAACTCTCCTATCCCTATTACTACTGTGTCGACTCCGCGCGAGCACACATTGGAGTGCAACACAGAGAACCTCTGTTTTGATGCAGATACGGGGCACTAATATAAAATCTCTCTGTGGCATCACTCCCAACTATACTGGGCCTGTCCCAACTACAACACTTAGGTCTAGTTTGCATGTGCACATAAAGGCATCATGTGCTGAAGTTATATTGTGTTCATTGTCCTATCATACATGACCCTCTCTGCAAAAAAGGGTAATACTGTAAGTCGCACATTGCCAGAACATGTTATAGCCTGTTCTATTTGAAGAGTGCAAAATTTCTTCCAAAACATGATTTTGTGTTTTTCCTTGAATAGCTTCTGTGACATTTATATCTTCAGAATTACTGACTACAAACATGGATTCTGATGAATAGAGATGAGAAATTGATCATTCAGTAGGAAATCCTACAAAGCATTGTGTTTCCAAGTGCTACACTTTTTGAGCTTTTTCTCGAAAAGTGCTTTTATTGCAGTGGATATAAATGTCTATACCTCCAGAACACAGCGCACTACAAGGGTCATTTATATATCAAATTGTAGCTTGTGATGTACAGAATCCAGCCATGTCAAAAACTCCTAACCTGAGTATGGCGACTTATTACCCATTTTTCTAGAGCTGGTCATATATTTTAGATGAACTGTGTCAGGTGCAAGATTCGTAAACCTGGATAAGGTTGAGAAATTTTCTATAGAAGTTGGTCAACAATAGTTGGGCTAGCCCAACTGCAGCACCATAACTGGGTCTGTCCCAACTAAAGTTGGGGCGTAACATTTTCACTCGAAAAATTACCTCTAAGCATTGTAGCTGTTGACTGCCATTTTGCCTTCCAACAGAACTTGGACAGTACCATTAGGTAGGTATGGGTGAAGGTGATGCAGATACTGTGCATGGGCACATTTTAAATGTTCAGCTATAAAGGCGTGAATAAATTATCATGGAGATAAGCGAAAACCAATGAAAGACTTTTAGGGGAAACGGGTAAATTCCCAATCCGATCTGTTTTATGTTGTTTTATCATATAATATATTACCCCTTTTGGTGTAATGGTCTAAGCTGCCCTAGCGGCAACATGGCTGCTGAGTTCTTAGCTGTTTCAAGAGTCTAACCTAGTTTAACCAAAGTGTCCTCCAGAAAAACGTTTTATGGTCAAACACTGCTTCTTTTAATTTTGAACGTGTTTTAGAGGTTTGGCAGTGTGTTGATGGTATTATGCATGTTGATGGTGTGTTATCCGTAATTAGTGAGACCACATCATCTTTCATCATTTTCTTCTAGCCTAACATCTGTGATCATGTAATTGCCAGGTCCGTAATTTTGCCACCTATTGTCAGTCTACTGCACAGTGATCTTATTTCTATGCTCTCACCTTTCCATACTGATGCCTTACACATAAACAAATTTTTATGGCAAATTTACTGGACACAGATACCAGAGTTTGTTTCATGAGTCCCAAAAGATTTCAGCAAGTCTTATGTCATCTTAGAGGTTGCCCTCTATTGTCTGGCATAATGTCAACCCTAACAGTTGTCAATCCTCCAATTTTAGTATGATTTTACATACACCCTAGAGGATTAGGGCTAAAAGCTGTTGACTCAGTGAAATGCTACTGGGATGGAATAGGGTTTTTTTCTCATTTTTGAAGTTGCAAAAAGTTGATTTGTTTAGTTTGTCAATGGAGTGAGTATGAGGAGGTGGGTCCATTTTAAGGTTTTGTTTCTGTAGTTTCTTCTCAGAAGAGGTCTGAGTCATAATTGGGTTTACACTAAGTTGCCCATGTTTATGACTCAAGGTAATCATGGGATTAGATACGTGCCAGTGTTTCCAGTCACCCCGAAAAAGGTATGACAAGGGATGGGAGTTTTCACTTCAGACTGGTGATACATTTATTTGCAGGACCTGGAGATAACAGGAACATGGAAATAAAAGTTGGAACTGAATTTGGCCTTTCAGCTCCCACAAAGGTGTTTTTTGAGGGATGTTGGCACCTGCTTGTCTTGAAAACTAGTTTTTTGTTTTTTAAATTTATTGGAGGGGATTAGGGATAGGATGGATGTAGGTGGTTAATGTAGAGTTATGGGATATAGAGGAGAGAGGACAGACAAGTGGAGGATGTGGGGTGCAAATTTTAGTGTGGGACAATGTAGCCAGTGAAACTGTCAAGACAAGTAGATAAGCAAAGGACACATTAAGGGGTTTTTACTTGTAATTTACTATGCAAGAATGCTAAATGTTGGCAGACCAAAGAACTTAAAGGTAAAAAGGACATTTTCAATAAAATTAATATTCCCAGTACTGATTAAAAGTTATTCAAATGACCTGGAAATTGCTACTGGAAGTTGTAAGTTTGAAGTTGCGTAAATAAGTTTGAAGTTGCTTGAAATATTGAGAGAATACATGTATGTACTGTTTCAATACCAAACACCAAGATTTGACCTTTGAGTAGTAACTTATGTGGCACGTCTTGGCCAACTTGCACATAGGTGTCAAAGAGCACCAGTCACGTCAATTGAGGCAGGACATTTTGCACACAGCCAGTGTTGAATTGTCTAAAACTTCCCTACTCCAGGGCAAACAAAGAAGTGACTTTACTTTTTGAATTGCTCTAATGAAAATGTAGATGATGAAAAGTCAAAGTAAAAGTACCTCCAAAAAATTTCAACTGCATGGTAGTTTTCTGAAATCTTGTTTCAAAGCCTTAGCTACATAGATTTAGGAGGATGCGTCATGCATCAAGAATTACGTGTGTAAAAGGCATGGGGTGAGAACCAGTGTGGGAATCAATATGCGTGTGTACTCCATTCAGTTACACTGGACTTTCTGGTTCAAATGATATCACACTTTGATACTGTAGACTATAGAAATAATACAACTCAGTGAAGTGGTAAGAATGTACAACATGGTTTTTCTGTACTGTTAGACTGAACTGTTTACATGTACATTGAAAATAAACTGCATGTGGTAGGGCAAGAAATTGTTGTATTCAGAAAGCTGAGCATTTTCAATGATTCTGCTCTTAGAAGGCATGAGAATGAGGAAACAACCCTACATGTTATTTTTTAAATTATATTGTGCAACCACCACATTTCTGAACTAACACAAATGGAATTTATTGGATTTACATGAAGACTAGTTTGGGTAACAGTGGAAATCCTTTTTTATCTGAACAAGGTGAGGAGGATTCGCAGCAGGTATGTCTCTGAAGCCAAGAGCTATCAACTTTGAGCAAACCTGGGACAGGTTGTTGGAGACTGTTAAAGGAGTCATTCAGCTTGGCAATGTCAAGAGGAAAATATGGAATGATCGCTTCTCGTATCCTTTGAAAAAAATCACCTCACAGATATTAATACTGATCAGTTAACACTAAATGATTGTGCATGGGGGATACATATATAGCATAGCGTCATTATTACTGGTCCTTTACATTATTTTAAAAGTGTTTGTCATGTAATAAAACCTACATTATATGAGTACCCTGTATATATAGAATCCTGTAAAAACACTTTTTATACCACTTAAAACTTTTCTTTCAAGTTTACACAGTCAGTGACCAACATCACATAAATGCTGTGTGGTTGGAAACTACTTGAGTGAAAATCTAAAACTCTGTGCTGAAACAGATGACACTGTTGAATATCCATGTGGACTTGATTTTGATTTACATATATATGTAAACTTCTGGAATGATAACTCCATCGGGCGATCCCTAGTGGCATCATGCACAACCCTACTCCAGAGAATTCTATTCAGTGTTAGATCTTTTAGATCAGCGAGGTTTTTCAGTGCAACTTGTCTTTGTGCTGTCTTCCTCTTCTGCTGATCCCTTCTTTTTTATCCTTTCCAGCACCAAGTTTGTTCCCTGCCACATCACCTCATAGAACTTTTACAAGAGCTTTTGTTTCCAAGCTATTTTATAAGAAGAGGATTAATGATTCTAATCGCCCTAATGTTGCGACCTTTTCTGTGTCTAAGGAATTCCCAGGAGTCTTCTCCAACACCACAGTTCAAATGCGCTCATCTTGTGCCTGTTATTTAATTTCAAGGTCCTTTAAATCAGTGCATCATTGAAAATCAGTGGAATGCCAGAGCTTTTTTAGAGAACCAAACACTGAATTCAGACTGTACATTTTCTGATGCTTGAACCTTTAACCACTTGCTGCCGGGTGCTTTGAAAAAAATGCAGTGGATAATCTTGGGTCATTTTTCAAGATTTTCAGTTGTCAAAATTCTTCAACAATTCATCATTTCATTTAACGGATGTTTATACCCACAATATGTAATCTTTGGGTACTACTCAAGCTGACAGGTGACCTTCATTGATGCCCAAGTATTTTAGCCAGGCCTGCAGCCTTGTAAAAAAGAGCCCAAATTGTGCAGTGTTATGAAACCTTCTTTTGATAACGAACCTGCCACAGTGCGCTACTGCCCTGCTTTCAGTTGGGGCCAGATTAGCATATCCAGTGGTGTTGTGTGACTCATCACTGTGGTGGTGCTGAGCTTTTGTTCCCAGTGGTAATCGACTAACTCTAAATGCCCCAAATCCTGGTATCAGGTTTCAAAACAATGCTGGATTATCTCCATTATTGAGAGTAAGAAAATGTTAGTAATACCCAGCAGCTCAGTCTTTTGTGCCGAGCATGGTCTTTTGTTACAAGGCCTAACTCTTTTGTCCGGAAACCAGCTCCCCGTCTTCATGTATTAAGCCCAGGTCCTCAAAAATGGGTCGCCCCTCAGGAAGTGGTTTATAGTTTCCAGTTTTTCAAGTTAATGCTGGATGTTTTCTTAATTAAAGTTTGTACTGAGTTTGAATTTTGAACTGTCCTTACATGTAATTCCACCAAACAGTGATGTTTATGCCTTATGTGTTGCTTTCCCTGAGCCACACAGCAACCGGTTATATGAAGAAACAAAAATTTTCTTAGAAGAACATGTACAAGCATTACACAAGGTTTGTATTGTTTCTCTGTACATGTAAGTGGTTTTGTACATGTAAAGTTAGTTTGAAGAAAAAATGGTTTCTGTCATACATATTTTTATTCTGCTATAGGATGCTATCCAGGCCGGGGACAGTCTTCTGTTCATTTATCACAGACACTGGCAAAAGTTCAGCAGAGGAGCCAGCTATTTAGATCAGCTGTATTCGTAAGCTAGTATTTTCTTTCATAATTTGCTGAGTTTACACAAGGATACACTCTTACAAGTGGTTACCATTTATACCATATCAAATATATACCAATAATGCAAAAATAACCCTAACCCCCCGGTGTGTATGTAAAATCATAATGAAATCAGGGTATTTGGGACTGTTAGAGACTCACATAGTTGAGCATGTATCTAATGAATTAATAGTTGTGTCAGATAATAATATAGAACCCCATACCTGAATCTAACACTGAGTTTACACTTGATCCAGCGAGGGGGATCAAAGCCGGCAAGGGGGATCAGATCCAGATAAAAAATGTGTGTCAGATCCTGATCCCGGCTTGGCTTGGGCGGTATTTCGGTATCACCGAATACCGCGGTATTTTTTTTATACCGAACAATACCGACTAACAATTCATGAATACCGGAATACGGGCTAATTCGGTACTGAATTTCAATACCGCAGTATTCTGGCTATTTTGTTCAGAATGTTCCCACAACCCTCATAAAATGAAAGCAGACAATTATATCCACAACAGTGACTGCATACTTTGTGGTTTAAGTCACCCAGCATCGTGTTTGTATTTTCTCTTTTGGAGAGGAGATAAGATGTAATGTGATACTTCAGCCATGGAGGAATGCTTCAGCATGCAGCCATCAACCCGCCTGTCAAAAGGTTTTGTTTTCCTGTCGCCAACGTCGAGTTTGCGGTTTTGGGATAGCTTGTCGACAGTGCTTGTTGTTATTCTCACCAGCACATATCACAGCCTTTACCAGTAGCTTGGGAATTAAAAAGCAGCTAACTTGGGAATTAAAAAGCAGCTGGTCTTCCGGTTCCGTGTCGCAGTCGACTTTATTTTCCGAAGAATTTTATTTGCAGATAAGAAAATGCAAATGCTGCTTATGCTAGGCTTGTGCTCTCTTTGTGTCTTTTTTGTCCTTTTTATAAAATATGTACAAGTATTGTGTGAATATTTATCTAACTGAAACCAGGAATGTGTGCTCTAAACTTCAAAATGATTCAATAAAACTGCGTTCAGTTGGACATCCACGGCAATCGAGGATCATTTTTTACTGTTTTCACATTTGTTCCAAGTCCAACCACACAAAAAGAGAAGCAAAACCCGATCCCTCACTTGTGACTGCTTGTATTTAAGCTTGTCTGGAATAAATTGAGGACAGTGTCTGATGTACGGAACTAGCTGCCTTTCAAAATGCGAGACACTGGTTAGTCAAAAGTGTCAGACCCTCAAAGAGATTACGGACTGAAGACAAGAGCGGAACAAGTGTAGTGAAATTAAGTCTATTGTTGGTCTTGAGTGATCAGTTTTATTGAATGTGTGTGTACTTGGCGGAAGTTTACAACAAAATAATGCGGTCGGACGTTTGATGTTGGTCAACGTCGGTCGGTATGGTTTAATCTGATAGAGACAAAATATCGTCTGGCTGCATTAAATTTTCTTTTCAGAATTTCAGTAGCGTCATGTCGTCACTCATCGCCCCCTTCCAGGATAGTATAAAAATGCAGCTCAAACTCCACGCCTCGTTCATGAATCCTTCCAGATTTACGAATCAAGTATGGCAGTGTCTGGGGAGGAAATACGACTTGTAGGGAAGAAGAAAACGACATCAGCAATATGGAATCACTTCGGCTTCAAGCCTGGTGAAGACGGGACACCTGAGAACAAAAATGAGGCAATATGTCGCGTATGCCACAAAACAGTTGTGGCGAAGCACGGAAACACATCAAACCTGGTCGCACATCTCCGAGCAAACCACCCTGCAACGCATGCTAAGTTTGTGACTGAGAAAGAGCGTGCCACACGGCCCAGAACTGCATACCTTGGAGCATCGTCATTGAGCATCAAACAGCCAATAGTCAGAGAATCTTTCTACAAGGCTATGAAATATTCTAGGCAAAGTTCCCGGTGGAAAGAACTCACGGACTCCGTCACACATTTCCTTGCTACGGAAATGCTGCCAATTTACACCATTGAGAAACCAGGATTCAAGAACATGCTGTTGAAGTTTGATCGGCAGTATGATTTGCCTGGAAGGAACCACTTCAGCAGAGTAGCTATTCCACAGTTGTACACCAGAGTTAAGTCCAGGGTTGCGGTGATGGACAATATACATGTAGATGGAGAACCAGACCCCCTCATGTGGTGGCGTGATAACCAGCAAATGTTCTCCCTTTTGGCAAAGTTAAGCAAGAAATATCTGTGTATCTGCGCTACAAGTTTGCCCTCAGAATGCTTGTTCAGCACCACAGGACACGTTGCAACATCACAGCTGTCACTGTTGAAGCCAGACAAAGCAAACATACTGATATTCTTGGCAAAGAACTTGTAAAACTGTCACTATTATTTATTCACGCATGAATACTGGATTTTATGGTCATGTTTCCAATTGTATGACAAACCAACAACTTCAACTATAAAGATATTTTTTTCTACCTTTATTTCAGTGTTACTTCTTTCAGCTTGCTTCACTGATTTATTTGTACTTTTAAATCACAATTGTTCTTTTTGATGACTTTTACAAGATGTACTTCAAGTTAAGGTAAATAAACTTTGGGGTTGGAACGGAGAAGGGGAGTACTTGTACAGTCTTGTAGATATGCGAGGAAAAAGAACAAGACTGCTGGAAGTTGATAGTTGGTGTACTCTTATAATTAGATGGATTTTAAAAACGTGCCGGACCAGGCTCACACTATCACTGAACATAAGCAACGAAAAGCTTGCTAAATATCCATTCTCTTTGATTAAACAACTGTACGAGTAATAGGAACAGATTGAGCATACATGTAAATTCTTTGATTGAAAATAAACATTTTTGAAAAGTTTCAGAAGTCTTAACCGCCATGTGTTTGACTCTGTGCCCTGTTTATATTTAAGTTTATTTTTACTGTCAGTCAGTTCTGAGGCCTTTTAGTAGTTTTCCTCCCAGTGATTTCAATATTTCAGACAAAGCCACTGTTATATTGATTAATCCATAGTCCGTGGTGATCAACGTGCATGTTGTTGAGTATTTCAGGGGGTTCTAGCAGACAGCAGACCATGTGCTTTCGTGAGGTTGATGCACTGCATGCAGTATGATTGGGAATGGGAAGCACAACCGTGACCATGACAGAAGAGCGAACGTAATTAAGGAATCTGATTGGCCCGCAATCCCTGCATCATCACTTATGACACGCCCCATGCTTCTCTCCGTATAACATGTACATGTACTTGCATTCTGCAATGCCGGCCGCGCCACAGAGTTTTCTGGAAGCCACCTTACTATATTGCACACGCACAGTGTGAAGGCACAGCTTAAGAGGAAAAGCCACTGGTGACCGGCACGTAATCATTACAATAACGCACTGTCTCAGCGAGTATCAACTTGACTGTAGTACATACAGTTTAGTCACGAACAGATTTTCACACCATAAGAGTGATCACACAGATACGAATCGCGGAGCAACAAATCGGTATTTAAAACACCGTTCAGTTTTTATTATTCTTTCACATAAATAATATTTATTTGACATCAAGTGGAAAGATAAATTATAATACTTATTAAGTTTAGGGGGGTTGTGTGATGTTAAAAATAATTTATGCTGGCCGCTAGTTGTTCTGTTTGTGTTTTGCCATTGAATGTCAGCGTCAAGGCTACTTTTTGATGATGTAATGCCTTCTTCAATGAATACCGCAGTAATTTTTTTCACGGATACCGCGGTATCAAACAATGCAATACCTACCGCCCAAGCCTAATCCCGGCATCTGATTCTTCTCTCGAGAGGGATCAGATCCAGTTCAGATTCTGCATGCGGGATCAATTTGAAGTGTAAACGCAACGCCAGATCAGATCCAGATCAGATCCCGGAACTTAACATAATTACATCCGGGGCAAGTCTTGAAGCGTGCGAATTTGAATATGTGTCGTCATGAAGACCTTCATGTCATGTACTTGTACAGGACATTGTACACGTACCATACATATGCTATATACATACACATGGCCCAGATGCCACGTACATAATCAGCATTACGCTGGTTCCCAATTAAGCCTTAGTTCTTTGGAACTGTGAGTTGGAAGTAAACTGGAACTTACCCATTCCCATTGTTTGTGCGTCGCCTTTTTGACTTTCGTTACCACTTCATATCACTCTTCCAAAACCTTCCATTTGCCTGTTTTTTATTGTTTTTCATTTGGCTTATCGACGTGTTTGTTTCTGAGGTCAATCCTCATCTTAAAAAAAGCCACATATACCAAGTTTTTAATGGCTTCGCACTGCAATTGAGTCTTGAGACGACAGCGCATTAACAGCACAAGCACTGCTAACAGACGGACAAGATCTTCCGTCGCGACTAGTACTATTCATACAACCACAAGCTGCAGTAATTTTCAGTATTCACAGATGATTTGAAGAAAAACATGGCGTCTGAAACTACCGGTACGTGAGATATGGCAAGACGTATATATACAGTGTGTAAGTACACGAGTATGTACTTTCGAGTTTTGTGCGTAATGGCTACCATTTTCACATAACCTTTGCCCTGAGGTTGCAGCGCTTCATCGATGCTACACAGGATCGGGATCCCCCTTGCTTGAGTGCTCTTGGGGGCTCAGAGCCTCCTTTGTAGGATCAAGTGTAAATGTGGCATGAATGACCCTTTGAAGTCTCATGCCTGCAGTGTCTTGTCTACTAATGTGTACAAACCATTAACGTCTGTTTCAAAATTGTACAGTGTTTATTTAATTGAATAAATCCCTAATTTAATTGAACCACCTACACAGAGATAAGTTGAATACATTGTTCATTATATATCATGGAATATCTTAGTTGGAACACACTTTTCTGGGAGTTAATTTTTATTGACATGAAACCTTAAAAGACTGTTTATTGGAAAAGGAAGGGTCTGTTATAAAGTAGCAAAATGTATAAACTTTGTCATCTCCTTTGTTTTTTTTAGGGTGCAAACATAAAAACTTGGCGTCAAAAGCTACATCCTAGTGAGGGAAAATGATAATCTGCCTGTTTTTTGCTGAACATGCATATCAGGACAGGACTAGCTTAGTTGATCAAGTTTTCCTGTGAAACTTAGAAGTGACAACATTGTGTTTCAACATGACTCTAATTTGTTGGTGACTTCCAGTAATTGCTCCAATTTGTTAGTGACTTACAATAGTTGTTTGGCCCATTACGTCATGGTTCCAGCTGCTGCTTGCCTTTTTTTGGTCAAAGGGCAAACATTTACAAACTTTGGCTATAATATTGAGAAAATGGCTAGACAGAAGTTGTATTTAGCCCCATGTGAAAAAGTCAGTGGCACCAAAAATGTGTATTGAAAAGCAAATAGTTTCTAGCTTTTGCAATTCACTGTGCCAACATGTTTTATAAGTTCAATTTCTAAAATAAACTACTAGGACTGAAAAGAGACTGAAAACTTGTTTGAAAAAAATATTATGAACGTTTTGTTTTAAAACACAGCCGGAATTGAGTTTCTGTAGTTTTTACATGATTTTGTAAACAACGTGAATGTTATGTCCATCATAAACCAAATAAAGTGCATTTCATTAGACTTTTTTCTTTCATGTGAAGTTACTTAAACCAGCAGTTTATCAAGAGGCAAAAAATGAGTGAAGCAGACCGTACCTTTGGGTACTCATTAGACACTGATGAAGAGCAACTCATGGACATTGGTGAGGTAGTGTATAGCCTTTGATAAATTCTTATGTAGTAATAGTGTTGACAAGATGGTACACTCTCAGTAACACTCCACTTCTTGAAACTACTTGACTGATTGCAGTCTGATTTTATTGACCGATTTCTGATTTTGTTGAGTTTTCCCTTGTCCCTCCAAGCATTTAACTTGGATTAACCAGTCAGAGTTTGACTTATAGGTTGATTCGCTGCAGATAGTTTTAATTAAATGGATATACCTGTAGATTTGAAACTACATACCTAAAGTCATGAGTGTCTGGATATGTGCCTCGGAGGTAGTAGACTTCTGATGTAATTGTTGGTTTTTTGATATTTGACCCAGTGGGAAAGCTGTGAGGGAGTTGATTGAGGACAAGATATTATTTTTGAAGTTTCAACTTTTAAAACTCAAAACTCTATGGAATGCATTCATAAAGTACATATGTAGAATGTAAAAGTCAGATTCATGCTTTATCCCAGCAGTGTACAGTGTGACCAAAAGAGTCGCATTTGTGCCTAAAAATGTTAGTCACCCACCATCAATGTGCGTACAGTAAGTACAAAATCGATCTGGTGCCTAATTTTTTGTTCTAGGAGCCAGTGGCACCTCATTTTATTTTTCTCTGTTCTGCACTGCTCTAGCCAAATCTTGCAATTTCACTGACGCAATGCTGACATTTCACATGGTATCACCCAGAAACAACACAATGCAGTAGGGGGTAAAAAGTCAATGTTGCTGCTGGATTTCTGAAAGTTTTCTCATTCGAACTATTGAATAAAGATCACTCGAAAAGTGAAATAAAGTTCACTTACTGTTAAAATTTCCAAATCAATGAATGCTTGATCTTGCTAAATTCCGTATGGTCTTGGATGGAAGCTTTATATTGGCCCATTCCATTAATATGAATGAGTGTACTGTATCACTCAGTCAGCTCAGATGTGATAGACTTTAATATCATCTGATCAGTATGTGTGTACTGCACGGTAGAGTATATGTACATGTACATCACTGGTCAATATTGATATATTGGCACCAGACTACTCCTGCAGAATTGTGATATATGTTTCATTCCTCAAAATGGTGCTGCAGGCATACAAGACTAAGTGCTTTTTACATACAAATGAAAAGTGTTTGGATTTCTGAATTCTTAATGCTTAAACTGGTATTACAAGCAGTAAGTTTGGTTGTTTGTTTATTGAATAGCAAGGTCTCAGTGACCAAGATTCTTAAAGTTCTTAAGACTTTCACGACATCAAGTTGTAAAATTGAAGACCTTGAAACAGGCAAATTGGCCTTGTGACCTGTCTCAATACAGACATGTACAATTTAAGTAAAGAGTCTGTCCCATTGCACACTTTTATTTCCTCGTGAAAACTGAAGATGCATGTGTTACCAAAGAATGTGCATTTTCTGTCTTCATATTACAGCAAAAGTGTTTCAAATTGTTTCAAATGACATGGTTATTAGTGCTACCACAACAGAGGAATTTACACTCTGTTTGATCTCATCTTGAAACTTAGCATACAACCTTGTACATGTGATTACATGTGGTATCTCCAGAGGCTGCTTAACTTTTGATGACGTTCAATTTGTGATAGTATACAAGTAAATGTACAGTTACAGACCTTTATCAAACAAATCTCTTTGTTACTTTTTCTATTTAACAGTTAGCACTTGATACATGGAAGAGATTAATGATAAGACCACTGAAGAAAAATCTTCATGAGTTGTTGCTTAGAGAAATACACAGGTAAGCTAATTAGTTACCAAACAGTGACTTGTGAAATAAGTTTTGAGCAGTTTTTCTTAAACTCACTTTTTGTGCATCTTTAGATTCCTTCAATGTTTAAAAAATTGTTTGAAATCCTTTTAAAAGTAAATTTTAAAAGTTGTCCAAGCTTGTCCGGTCAGTGTTGGTACTGTTGTTGCCATTCAAATCAGGGAAGACACTGTTCAGTTTGCATGTCTTTGTGTTCAAACTTTGAACTCCAGTTTGCTCTTTGAAAATATTTCCAAGAAAAGGTTGCTTGCTGGCTTATTGTCAAATACTCACACATCAATAAACTGCCCCCAATATGGAAATTTACCATGTGGAGCAAAATATTTAAAAAGTTTGCAGCTTTATGTGCACAAATCAATGCAACATTGAGGTTCAGTGCTTTGGATGATATTATTTCACAAAAACAGTTTTGCAGAATATGCACATTTGTATTAGCGTAAAAGTACAGAAACAAACAGCAAAACAAATTGAAAGTAAGGTTAATTGAAACACAGAGGTGCAGTTTCAAAGATTGCAGCAAGTAATGACATTACATGGTCACTTTCAAGTTGTCAGTTACATGTAAGTGTTAAAAGGTCCTCATGCCACAAATTTAATGTTTACAAATACTCATAGGGCCATACTCTGGGCATGAAAGAAATGTTTTATTGAAATAGACTATGATCCAGACTATTTGGGTTATAAAACTAGTTTTGGGAGCTGTATATTTAAATTTCAATGAAACTTCTAGCCCAACTTTCATGTCTAAAGCTATATTTTAGGTACCTTTTAGCCCTGACATGATGAAGTGTAACAGCAATGAATTTTTTAACACAATTTTCTTTGCAACTTTTACTTGTTTTCAATGTACAAAAACTATTCTACGTCATTATTTGGTGAAATGTGATGAAAATTGCACTTTTTTAATTATTTAAAATTATCTATGCTTTCTTGGACAACTGAGGACACTTGCCTGTGATGTCATCCAGAAGAGAAATGTACAGTTTAGTGCTTACGTTTTTCTTTTCAAATGGCCATCCCAGAATTCACTCACTGAAAATGTGTTTGTGAAAGGTTTGATTTTTTTGCTTATTGCCATGTACATGAATAACAGAGCAGGGTTTTTGTGTACACGGCAATGTAACATTGATGCTCTCTAGGACATTCCAGTGTTGCTCATGAATAGTTCCATGTGCACTATGTAAAGTACCACTAACTACAATGGTATTTACATAATGCATATTATGCACTTAAATATACCAGTTGTCATTTTTGTTGTCTTTCCATGAACTCGGGGCACACGTTGTGATAATTGAACATTTATAGATGTGATCTGAAGGGTCTCTCTTAGTAACTTAACTGTTATATCCTGTAATGATATGAAATGCTTCCCATCTGTTCTTGAATGTTTCATAGCATTCTTAAGTTCTCATGTCCTAAATAAATGTTTTTACATGTTAACATGCACACAAAACAATTTCCAGCAATGTCAATGATAAAGTTAGATTTTTGGTGACAGTTACCCCCCTCAATATAGCAAGATAATAATCTACCATTCTGAACATTTGGCTTTCATTTTAATGAAAATTCTCGAGGCTATCCCAGGAAACTAATTAGACACTAGATTTTAAAGAGTGTACCATCAGGTTCGATTAACAGATTTCTTAGAATTTTCACAAAGAAATGTGAAATATGTGAAGTGGAATGTAAAAGTGATCAGTCAATGTAAAAGTGATCAGTCAATGTAAAAGTGATCAGTCAATTTCTCAGTCTCCATCAAAGATGTGCATACTATTTTGGTTTGTTGAATAAAAGTCAAATTTCTTTCACATACTGTCATGCAACGACAAGGCTCTGCACACCCTTGACTATTGGAGTGATGTATGTTTTGAGCAATTTCATCTAAGTTAAGTTATTTGTGCCATTTTAATTTGATCTTGATCTGTTCCTTACAGAGATCGGTGTGGAGAAGACACCAATCAGGCTGTACTTCATAGTGTCATTAACTCTCTTGTTGACGTGGAGCGCTACAGACAAAAAGATCAAGTGCAGGTAAACCCATTCAGAATTTTGAATGACCTAGTACTGTGCCAAAAAAGAACCCATTTCAATGTTTGCTTGTGAACAGCTTTTCAGTGAGGGATTGCGCACAACAAGGTCTCTCTTCCAAATTTGTTTGAGTTAAAAGTTGTTTCTTTCTTTCATTGTTTACTTATCATTCTTTTCTTGGTGGGGAGTTTTCTTGGTCTTGGAGTTAGGTTGGACACACGGTTTTGTGCCTTTTCCTGTTTACTTTTGTTTTGGTTTTTAAATGACATGATTTGGCACTTGTATCAGCTACTTGTTTTAAACTTTCCTCTGTGGCTTAGAAAACGTTGCCAAGTTTTTTTCAGGGGCCGTTCATTTGTTTTAACAAAGCTGGCTACATAATCTGTGGACAAACTGGCATTAGTTCAAAGAAGTAAACCCAAAACTGGCTACATAATCTGTGGACAAACTGGCATTAGTTCATGGAAGTAAACCCCAAACTCTCTACATAATCTGTGGACAAACTGGCATTATTTCATAGAAGTAAACCCAAAGCTGGCTACCTAATCTGTGGACAAACTGGCATTAGTTCATAGAAGTAAACCCAAAACTGGTTACATAATCTGTGGACAAACTGGCATTAGTTCATAGAAGTAAACCCAAAACTGGTTACATAATCTGTGGACAAACTGGCATTAGTTCATAGAATTAAACCCAGGTGACAGTCCCCAGTGGTGCATGTAAATGCATCTGTATGTGCAAATTAGTTCAGTTAAGATTTCTATGCAGACTTGGAATTCTTCTTCTGTTAATACTGTGGGTACAGTGTGGATTTTAAAAGGGTTGACACTGAAAGATCACTTGCAGAGTAAGAAACACGATTTTAAAAGTGTTGACACTGAAAGATCACTTGCAGAGTAAGAAACACGTCAAGAACAAAGCTTCAAAGCAAGCTGCTAGAGAATCAAAATTAAGTGCCACAGCTTATTTGGAGCCTCCAGTTAAGTGACAGGTCGCCTTGACCTCAGCCTTACAATCTATGCATCATCGAGAGGAATTCATCATTGACTGTGTCAGACTGTGTACTATGACAGACATTGCCCTGGAAAAGGCTAAAAAGATGCGGCCATTTATGAGGAAAGCATTGAAAACAGGGAGGAGAATTTCCATGGGCACAAACACTTCACAACATTTATGTGCCGAGACAATTTAAGGTGTATTTTGAAGCTCCGCAGAATCTTGTGCAAGGTTTCAAGTTGTCCATCGTCACCAAGGAGACAACAGACATCTTCGATCGTAGTGTCCTCACGGGTGCGAGAATTCAGCTTTTTCTGTGTAGATGGTGACCCTGAATGTCGGCTTTTTTGTACAACTGGTCTGTACAAAAGTATTGGAACTTTTACAATCCTACTTTTTTGCTTGCTGTTTTCAGCTTTAATTTTAAGTGGCCAATCACACCTGTATCCTGAGTGTAGTTGTAGGGGAAGAGGCAGTCACTACATGTACCTTATTGATGTATGCACCTTGGAAGCTTGCAATCATTCTACACTTAGCCTAGCACCCATTCAAGCTATCACCAATGTGGGCATCAAGTTCCAGGACATCATAGCAGTCATCACAGATTCTGTAGCATACTTCAAGAAACCTGTCTGACAAGTACTCCAGCCAATTTTCCCCAACCGTCTCTGTGTTTGCTACCTTGCTCACATCATCAGCTTGAGTACTGAAGTGTTTCAGTTTGGCCAGACTTTGACAGAGTGGCCCCTCATGCCAAAATAATGATATCTGCCTTCCTCAAGAAACCTGCATGCAAGGCCCACTACCTGACATTCTTGAAAGATTACCTGCCTAAAGATCAGGTGGTGAAGCTGTCCCCAGTGCCTGCTTCAACTTGCTGGAATTCATGGTTCTGTGCTGTGAATTAGCATGCCACCCATCTGCATGTCTGTAAGGATTTCTTCATGAAGGAAGACAGTAAGGGAATGGCTGTTGAGCAGATTCTCAGGCTTCCTTCCAAAAAGAAGATCTATAAAGAGCTGTGATGGTGCACAAGCTTCGTAAGAGAAAACTCTTAACGTCTGATATCAGCATTGACCAGTCTAGAGGCGACCCGTGATCACCTGGCTTGCACTATTTGTAACTCTATGCAAGATATGAGTTCTTTCTCCATGCTGGTACCTCCAAGACATCATGTTGCACTCAAACAGATGCTCTCCTTAAAGAAAAGCCATCAAAAGAGCAGAAAGTAATCACTAAGTCCTTTCAGTAGGTTTTCCAGGTAGTATGTGACAAGCTAGAGGGGCACTTGATGGAGCAATCCCATACTACAAGGCTGCAAGAGTCGTTGATCCAACAGCTTGGATCCATGCCACATGACATATTGGACGACCGTAGTATTCCAGGCTTACATGTAGCTGACCCCTCCCCTGAGATCGTGGAGGAGTGCTGATATACATGTACAAGTATTTCAGTCCTGATGACATGCATGTACCCTAACCACTGGACATACACAACTTCTGGAAGTCTATGGTAGGAAGGTTTTCCAGTGTCAAGTGTTGGTGTATACAAAGAGTGCAGCTTCTCACAGTACAGGCACTTGCTGAATGACAGAAGAGAAAGCCTCGCCCAGAGCTGAGCAACACCAAAATCATGGCCATGATGCACTTCAGTAGTGATATTTAGGAACAATTGAGGTCATACAGTGTAACTCTTAACTGGAAACCTCGCAACTGTAAGGGTCACATACACATCAAACATGTACATGCACATGTAGCTCTGACAAGATGTTAAAAGTACATGTACATACTTGTCCATTCTTGTCCAAAACCCTTCACATTTAGGGAAAATGAATTTACAACTGTTTATAACGGTGTTAATGTATGTTTGCATGCACAGTAAACTTGCCCCCCAATTTTCTAACTGTATGAAATGGAATTTTTATTTTTGAAACAGAATTCATGGAATTTGCAAAACGGAACATTCCTGTTTTAGAAATGGAAAATCATTGGCGCTGTAAGAGTAATCAGTAAATTTACCCTCAAGGCTTAGCAATATGCCACTTCAACAATGTAGCACTGTGGATTCATGGAAGAAACTTTATCAAGTAGTGAAGTTACTGCAGTCAACTCCTGTCATATGCATGTTCATATGGATTATGCTTCATAGCTGCTCTTTTGAGTGAGTTTATATGTCAATGGAAGTCTGAAATCCATTTGAAGTTCACTAACTAATAATATGGGCACAGAGGGAATTAAATCTGGAAACATAAGAGATTATACGTTTTGAAATCGTATGTACTTTTTTTTACAAAACCTCTCTTTCAGTGCATTGGGCTTGGAAATTTCAGCCATGTTATAGTTTGGACTGTGCTTCGAGGGGCTTTGCTGAGTTGTAGATGCAAGCAGTGATGTAGTCGAGTACTTTTTGAGAACCAAGTTCTCTACCAAATATTTAACTAGTTAGGAGGGAACAAAGCTTAAGTACATCGGCATTTGATGATACATGCATAAAGGTAAGATTACAAAGCAACATAATGACTTCAGACCATCACTGTTAAAATTAACTTTTTAGGACAAAAGTACTCAGAAAGTACTCGGCCGAGTACTTTCTGAGTACTTTTCTCCTTGAAACTTAAATTTTACACAACTGGGAGCGTCTGAAGTCTACATTTATTTTGTAATCTTACCTTTGCACATTTACCATCAAATGCCTGTGCACTCTGGCTTTATTCCCTCTTACCCGGTTCAGTATTTTGCGGAGAACGTTGGTACTCGGAAAGTACTCGACTACAACACTGGACACAAGTCACTTGACTTGGACTTGAGTCAGACTTCAGTTGCTATTTTTGTGACTCGTTAGTTGCTTGTAACAATCAGTTACTGACTTGTGACTGTGACTTGGACTTGCAAAATGTGACTTGTGACTGTGACTTGGACTTGCAAAATGTGACTTGTGACTTGACTTGGACTTGCACATTATGACTTGTTACCAACGCAAGTTAGAAAACTGTTTGAGCAAACAAGTTCTAAACTTACGCATTAGGTTCTTAAAATAATCATTTTAAGACTTTGTTCGGTTTGCGACTTTTACTTCCGTCTTGTCTGCCCAGTGCCATGTCTGAATCACTTACAATGTAGCTGTTCTGTTGTAGTCTTGCACATTTGTTCGGGAGTGCTTATGTTTTTTCATTGTTTAACCCCCAACTTCAAGCTTCATTTGAGCCTCATATTGAATTATTCATGTATCAGTTTATGATGCCTCTCAGCTTAGAATTGAAAACAAAAATAGTGTCCCAATCGTGAAGGCAGAAATTTCCGCGTCAAATACTGCGTTGAGGTGGTTGTAAAACGCCTTCAAGACACGCTTATAGGTCTTCTGTAACAAATACCCGTAATCAGATCTTTGTTGAGCATTCATCTTCTAAATTTCCCGTTTGAGGGAGAAATGGGTGAGATTTGCAGTACTAAAGCAAGTGGAAACATCATTCATCATGACTGTACTGTGTGTGACAATGTGCAACATGGCAAAACTTGAAAATGGCTCAAATTTTTTGGTTACTAACTTATCTGTGCTCATCGCAAGTTCAAAGGTACTGCCTCAGACTATAGAAGGATATTTGTGTGTGCTTAACTCAAAGCATCTTTAATTAAAAGAAGTTGAGCATGATGTTGCTTGATATTTCAGTTCGAAAACGTCATTTATGAACCTTCCTATGTGGTTTGTGTCGTGGAATAAATATGGAAGGTCTTTGAACCAAGACAAGGCTTTGATTTGCAATCACACATATAGCGCAACTTGACTTGTACTCAGACAAAAAGACCTGTGGCTTGCTTGTGCTTGGATTAATTGACTTGACTTGACTTGACTTGACCTGTGATCAAATGACTTGTGACTTGACTTGTGATTGGACCAAATGACTTGTGACTTGACATAGACTTGCAAAAATTGACAAGTGACTTGGACTTATAAAAGTTGACTTGTTACCACCTCTGGGTGATAGTGAGACCGCAGCATTTTTGTGCAATGAGAAAGGCCCTTTTCAAAGATATCACTTAACTCTGAACTGATACAGTTTCTCTTTTACTTGTACCTTACATTTGTTTTCCTCTTGTTTCAAGTTTTCAATGCTTTTTGAGAATTTCTGGTTTGTTTTGATGCTTTTATGTTACTCAGAATGACTCCTACAACATCTGTACACACCAAACACAAAAAGTGGCACAAGTTAACGAATTTTGTATTTAAAATGAAAGAAATGTTTAAACAATGATCGGCCAACCATCATTAAAATAGAGAACAAAATTTCTGTGTTCTCGAAAGTGACAGCATTCTGGGTGGAAATATTGTACAGATTGATCGAGGCTGTTATTTACAAACATTTGTGATTTTACCAATGGTGTAACCTACCTTTAATTCATTCAATCCAGTAATAATGAAAGAAACAATCACTAACAGAGGCTTGCTGTAATCTGTAGATTGACACTGTGCATTGTGTGCCTGTTATACTTATTCCATGGTACTGCATTTATGTGTGAACTTAAGACACAAATTTTGCATCACTGCCAGAATTTACAATGTATGTAGTCTTGTATCAGGCCAGTGACTAGACTTAAATCAAGTTGGTAATTTGCAGGGTTTAGTCTTCCTACACTGCCACCAGTACTTGAGAGAATGAAAGAAAATGCATGCACATGTAATTGTGGTATGTGGTCTGCTCCAACCAAACTTCATGGAGCGTTTATTGCCCTTTCTAGTAAGTGCATGAGGATCAAAGGTCTCGACAAGACAAAAAGCAATCGTGAACTTAGGTGATTAGGATTCGAACGAATTCATCAGTGTGACATGGTGAACCCTTGCAATTACCCCCCAAGAGCATAATCCAACTCCCTATTTGTGCCAAATGAGGGACTTGCCATATGCCCCCCCACATTTTCTCCAGTGCAATAACTAGGAGGAATTCTATTCTCCCCTGTCTTCTCCTTTTTCCCAGTTTTTATAAGCACAATGAAAGTGATTCATTCCCCTTTTTGTTAGTTTCTGGCTGGCTGACTGTTTAAATATGCACAGTGGAGTATATTTTTCCCAGCAAGCGGCCTCACAAATGGAAGACTAGCCTTATCAAGGTGGGAGGGGGTTGAAAGCAGCAGAATTATATAGAAATCACATATTTACCCTTTCGTTGGATCTGCAGTACGTTTGAGAATCCAAATGTAATTCAATATTTTCTTTGAAATTTTCTTTTCAAGTAGGAGATTGATTCAAAGCAGGGAGAATCAAACAGAAATCATGTTAAATCTACCCCTTTGGGGATTAAAATACATCTGAGAATAAACATATAAACTGATTTAAATGTGTGTGTATTAAACTTTTGTTCTAAATCAGGGAAATAATTCAAATGTCATATTGAAGTCAACACTTTAGTGGATTTTTGAATCCAGAAATTAATTAAGCACATTAAACTAATTTGCACAAAACATGTCAAACCAAATAAAAACTTGTGTTTGGGACGTTGTGATGGTGTCATCAAACATGATGATTTTAATTGCACAATTAGTCAAGGATTTCCTTGTGTGGCATATACTTAGTAGGTGCATTTCAAGATCAAGAGTAAACTTGCTTGCATACCATTACTTACCATTTTTGAAGCTTCTGTATGTAAGCAAACAATATCCATTGTGACCTCATTCCATCTCTGGTGTATTGGGATGAGCGTTGATGCTGATTCCCAGATTCTGTCTTCTGATCGACTAGGAGTACATGTACACGTATGTAACATGGTTTTCCTTTTTCTGCCATTTCATTGTCTTCCCAAAAAACTGTACAGTAGCAAAAGGAGAAACATTATCAAAACACCCATGGATCACTTGAAGACACTAGGTTTACTATATTTGTTCACCTAGCACTGACTTCTTTTGCTGTTTACTATCTGTGGTTTTCTGTGAACAATGACTACAACAAAAAGCTCAATATTTGCTCGTAAAAACAGTACGCAGAAAGTCATTGAATACACCTGTCAGAATGTTGTCATGACAATATAAAAAGATTTGGCCTCATGCTTTTAAATATCAGGTAGATGTCACAAAAGGAGAGAGAAATGCCTTTATAAGTCTCAGTTTGTATATGTACTTGCACACACATGTAATCATACATTTTTCACTTGACATTCTGCAAATAAATGAATACACATAATAAAACCCTGTTGAGTTCCTCATTAACTTTTGAGAGCAGTGCTGTTGGTTTCCTACAGATTGAAGAAATGTGGAAGATTTGGGACAGTTGTTAGCAAAATGCTGACGAACTAGGAATGATCACTTGTGTTTTATTCTGAATAATTTTATGCAGTTGTACCAAGAATTGTTTGAGAGCAAGCTCATTAGTGAGACTGGGGAATACTACCGAAAAGAATCAGCCAATCTACTACAAAAGCACAACTGTTCACAATACATGGAAAAGGTCAGCAAGAATTGAACTGTTGGTAATGTACATGTGCAATTTAATGGTGGTGTTGCCTTTACATGACACTTTCATGCTGTAAGCATCATACACTACTCAAAAGAATTAAAGGAACAAGAGAACAGAATGTTTTGTCATGGTCTATATGGGCTACCGTACCTTTAGAACAAGAGGCATTAAAGTTCCTTTAATTCTTTTGAGTAATGTATTATCACATAGTTTATGATAACACATATAGATTTGCTGGACAATAACTATTTAGTAAATGGTTAAAGTTATAGGGCAGCAGTTTTCCAGAGTTTTGAAAGCTGTATTGTGCATTACTGTGCCTTGAAAGTGAAGATTGACGTGCTAGTTGATGCTTGTACATGTGGTTTATTTATTTCTTTGGTAGGGGGGATGTTTTGTTTTATATTCTGTATTCAAGATATTCATTAGACTGTGGGAATAAAAAAAAATTTTTTCACAAGGTGCTACAAAGACTACAAGAAGAAGACCTCAGAAGTCGGAAGTTTTTACATCCCAGTTCTTACAACAAGATAATGCATGAATGTCAGTCAAGGATGGTTGCTGATCACATGGTCTTCCTTCATGGAGAATGCAGGAATATGGTTCGCAATGAACTACTGGCAGGTATACTGTAATTCATTTTTGTTAAATCTACACATATCGCTGATGATGGGGACATTTTGCTTTGTTTTAATCATTTATCGGAAACAATGTGATGTAATTGCAGATTCAGATTCCTAATTTTAGATTCCAGTTCTCAAAGTTAACCCAAACAAGGCAGTTTTATGAATTAATACTGAGGATGCTGAAAACAATTTGAAGATGTTGACAGTACACTGTGCTTTCTGTAAAAACATCAATCAGAACAAAACTTGTCAATTTCTGTTTGAGTATCAACAGTTCTTTTTATACATGTACCTCTGTATTCTGT